GAGAGAGAGAGAAAGAGAGAGAGGGAGAGAGAGAGAGAGAGAGAAACGATAAAGACGGTATAGGTCAGTTTCGGGCCGACACCTTGGCAAAGGTCTTGGCGACGAAATAGTCGGTCGGGCCAACTACGCCATCTCCATCGATGTCCTCTTGCGATGCACGGTACACTATAGGGGCCACAAACATGCTAGTAAGGACAACGACGATAATGGCAACAACAGCGATTTTACTCGGGTTTGGGGTATATGAACAGACATGTCATACATGAAAAAGAACTCCAGGGGAAGTGACGTGGTATTCAGTTAAGCCTCGAAGCTAGATGGAAGTTTCAGAGACTTCTGGGTCTCTCCGATGTGTAAGGACTCTTCTGTAGAAGGATGGTGTCACGGTGTGAGTTCATGTTGGAGCTCCACACTACGATTTAGGGTTTAGGGCCTTTTAGGATTTAGGGTTCAGGGTTCCCGTGCAGAGCTTGGCCGCAGCCAGCTTAAGATACAGAGTGTGGGGATTTAGGTGTCAGTTCTTGCAAAAGCTTACAGCCCAGGCTTTAGTATTCAGAGACCCAAGACCATTAACTCCAAAGCGGCTACCGACCAAAAGGTGTCCAAGATGTGGCTTGGGGTATCTAGAGGCTTCCTGGTCTTGCATTCTACAGTTGAAGGGAGTAAGCTGAAGGGATCAGGGCCCTAAACCCTAAACCCTCTTGGGGAGGCTCTAGAGCCAACGCAGCATTCGGAGAGATGAGAAGAAACGGATCGAATGCCAAACCCTGAAGCCTCAGACATGCCCCCAAAAAAATCTAGATCCTAAAACCCTGAATCAACCCTAAACACTAAAAAAAAATCCCAGAACCTCGAGTCTTATGGAGATCTTCTACACGACTCCAACCCTGTCTGGGCCTACCTTAGAAGTCTCAATGCTTAGTTTGAGGTAATTATCTTGCAGTCCGTACAGAGGGATACGACCAAACATAAAACCGACCCCAGCTACTACTCTAAGCCCTAGCAAGACATGGTCAAAGGCGTTCGGTTTGGGGTATCAGAAAATGAAAATCAGCAACGTCAAAGGAATGCCCGAAATCCTGGTTAAGAACTTAGTTGAAGGTGGCAGTCAGAAGTTAAGGGTTTGTGGTTCAGGGTTCCGGATCCCAACCCGACCCCCCTAAACCCTAAACCAGACCCTAAACCCGAAAGATCTCTAAACCAAAACTCTACACCCTAACACAGCCCAAGGCGCAAAGGTCGCGTCCGGTAGCCGGTCTGCACGTCTCTTGGCCTGTCGAGACCGACCCGGGTGTAGGGCCTGTAGGGTTTAATGTAGGAACCTTTGGGTCTTTGTTAGGGTTCTTTAGGGTTTTTGTTTTAGGGTTTAGGGTTTAAGGTTTAGGGTTCTTTAGGGCTTTTTGTTTTAGGGTTTAGGGTTTAAGGTTTAGGGTTCTTTAGGGGTTTAGGGGTTTAGGGTTCAATGTTTTGTGTTGTATATGGGGCCAGGGTTTCTTAGTCAGGTTCCTAGATTACTAGTTCCTTATTTGGGCTTACCTAACAGGATTCTAAATATGAACCCCCAAATGGAACGACTATGGGGCTTATGGGTAGGTGCTCAGGTTCCAGGTCGAGCCTGCAGCCGCGAGGGAGTTGACCACCCGTCTGAGCCCGCTATCTACAAGGATTTAGGGCTTATAGGGTTTAGGGTTTAGGGTTTAGGGTTTAGGGTTTATAGGGTTTATAGGGTCTATAGGGTATTCTACCTACAAGGATTTAGGGTTGATAGGGTTTATAGGGTATTCTATCTACAAAGATTTTAGGGTTAAAGGGTTTGTAGGGTATTCGACCTACAAGGATTTAGGGCTTATAGGGTTTATAGGGTGTTCTATCTACAAGGATTTAGGGTTTATAGGGTTGAGGGTATTCTACCAAGCCCATTCCGCAAAACTTGGCCCTCACTCGAGAGTATAAGAGACGTCCAATACGTCGACCCCCGTATCTACACAGTGCTTCAGCACCCGACGTTGTGAACATCCCAAGACGGAAGGTTGGTTAAATTTCAAGAACCTGCAATACCATCTCCGCACTCAAAACTCAAACAAAAAGCAACATCCACCATGCGACAATCAAACACAGTATGCCAGAAACTCTCGTTATAAGGGTCAAGGCTACATGGTCCCTGAAAGTCATTTTCACGAGCATCTCTGCACTTTCTTGACTTTTGCTGGCAGGCGTGGGCTCAGAGCCCATTCCACATCAACCTGGCCACCGAAAGCCCATGCGGTCTTGTAGGTACGTGTGACCACTTAGGACTCCTAAACCTAAACCCTAACCCCCAGATCGAGCCTTAAGCTCGGTGAGGGTGCGATGCTCCGGCACCTGCAGAGGCGACAGGGAGACGGTGAAAAGCTTCAAGCTTCAAGGGTAAGGCTTCAGGCTTAGGGTTTGGGGTTTAGGTTTAAGGTCTATAGTAGAATCCAGAAAGTTTGTGAACATTTCTTTATCCTCATGCCGATCAGGTATAGTAAAGGGGATCCTAGCGCTACTCCTCCCAGACCCATCGTTGAGCATTTTCTCTTGAGGCACGTGGATCGCTCGGGACGCTGGATCCCTCCTACAACCGAAATGGCGACACTGTTGCACCTGACCTCCAAGCTGCAAAGACCCCAAGCCTGAAAACCTTACGCCGTCTCGGGGTTTAAGGTTTAGGATGGTTCAGGTGTTTTGGGCCCTACGCCGTAAAGCTAAGTCTTGAAACTTTACAACCAACCATATGCCGATCATTTCCACGGTATAGGAGAAACCACCCTAAACCCTAAACCC